TTTTAGCCTCCATTTCATAGCCGAAAAAAGAAGCCCAAGATGTTTGTTGATACAAAAAATATTCTGAGTAATCCAATCAGAGAATAGCTAAGGGTCATACCTGTGCTTATCTTTCAGAAGAGCAACGATGGACTTGATAACATCAGCCAGAACTCTTGCTACCTGAATCTTCGAACTAGCTAGTTAGGCATTCATTATCGAACTGATACACCACAAATTCATAGCCCGTACCAAAGAGTAGTTCATCTTCAAGACTCACAGTTAGGTTACATGAGATTTGTTGAGCACCAAATTAGGAGTTTGAGCAAAAGACATTAGCTGCCATGTCTCAACAGGGAATTTTAGAGCTCAGGTTTTGCATGACCGTATTCTCATTTTTCGTTTGAGGTTCTAATAAAATGATCGAAATTAGTTTTGGGTTTGAATGCGGATCCTTTTTCTTTTCTCTCCAAGCTCACTTAACTTTTTGATGCATTTTGGTCGAGCTAGCCTTCAATTTGTTCATTTTAATTGGATCTGCCTCATTTATCCATTTCTCCTTTTCAGCCCAAGTGAATCTGTGCTTCTTAAGATGGTGAATCATCTTCTGGATTGGAGTGACCCTCTTTTGTGGCTTTTGCCCACTTTTGCTTTTCAATTTTTGAATTTTAAAAACCGGATTTTTGGATTTCAAAAACTAGATTTTTTGGGTTTCTATTCGGGTCGGGTACAATCATCATCACCCGCTTAAGGTATCGATGACTTATACGAGAGTTCATTAATATCAGGTACAGTCTGGTATGTGTAAGGTTTATTAATGTTTAAATTTAACCATATTTAGATGATGGTTTATTAATATCTAATAGTGGCAGCTATTTTTGTTTGGATTAACAAGATAGTATAGTTGTATATTTAAGCAAATTTTCTATTTTCCCCCTACTTTATTGTATATAGTAATAAATGAAAAATAAAAAGAGAAAAAATTAAAAAAATATACAATATTAAATATAAATATATGTAAATATATATAATTAAATATATACATATATATAACTAAAGATATATATACAATTAAATATATTATATACATATATATAATTAAATATTATATACATGTATAATATATAAGTAAAAACATAAATATATATATATATATATATCTAAATATATTATATACATGTATTTATATATAATTAAATATATAAACACATATATACATATATAAATTTATATATATATGTAATAAAATATATATAATTAAATACGTATATATAAAATTGATATAATTAAATATATTATATACAGTATATATAATTAAAAACATAAATACATGAATTTAATTGAATATATAAATACATACTTATATATAAATACACAATATTTTGAAAAGAAGAAGAAGAATATTAGAAGAAGAGTTGGGTAGAAGAAATTAAAGAGAAGGGAAATGTTATAAATAATAAAAAATATTAACAGTTTAAAGGAAAAAAATTATCAAACCTTCATAAAACTATCGAATCGGTGGTTTAAAAAAATAAAGAAAATCATGATTTTGAGAACCACGACTCAACCACAAAAAAACTATACCATGTGTTTACAAATGCAAACAAACAATTAAAAACCATGAAAAAACCATACCATCATTATTGAACTATCATCCAAACAAGACCTTAGGGTTAGTGTTGTGGAGTTTCAGAGCTTTTGCGTATGATTTCTTCTCTTCCATCTGGAAGATGAAGCGATAGATGCGCTTGCAGTTCGTGCAGCATAATGGTATGTGAGAGGATACAAATTGTACCTGATGAGAGCAGCAGACATAAGGGATACGATCTGAGTGTTCCCGAAATGGGTTCTTCAGAGGCGTTTCAGTGAATTCAAAAATAGTTTTCATAGTGTGCCACCATCCCCCAGCCTCAAAACCATCAGGGATAAAAATTCTTTTAACAGAACCTTCTCTTTCTTCCAATAATATAAAATTTATGCCCCGTCTGTTCCAAACCAAAGCTAGGAAGAGATGACGATGCTGCCCTTTAATGTTTCTGCCCCATGAATCTTTGTCTCTGTTCCAATAGAAGTCCTTTAGGTCTTCAATTATCCATTCAACTTCTTTTTTGTTGAGAGTGATAGAAATTTTGTTTCCTCTTCTGTTTTCGTAAACAATGTCGAAATATTTTTTCCCGATAAAGACGAAGCGTTTACTGTTTACGGGGAGCATTGAGGGGAGAAAAAGGAAACGGTCAACCAGGACACGGTTGGAGGTCGACAAGAGCGAGTTAAGAAGGGTTTGTAAGGTAGCAAGAGAGGAGATGGTAGAGAGTCGAAGGATAAGAAAGATTGAGAAAGTAGAGAGAATTTTAGAGAGAGAATTTTTAGAGAGAGAGGGGATGCTAATAGTATTACTTTAGGAGAATGAAAATTTCACAAAAAGAAAACTTTAAAATGAGTTCAGTTTTAGATAGAATGTCATATCTAACTTTGCAGTACCAAGTTTTTGTAACATCACTCCTCACACAAGGATTAGATGTCATAGTAGAGTAGGTTTTTTCAATTTTTTATAGAGAAAGAAGGTAGTAATTGTCCAAAAAGAGTCAGTTATTAGTAATACAAATTGCATACATAATGTCCAACAATTTGATTTGATTTGATTTTGTATGTGTAAGTTTGTCATGGGGACAAAAATGGAGGACTTTACCTGTTGAACCTGTGTTCGCAATGTATCAAATTGACCCTCTGTGCAGCAAACATTTCCACTTATTGTTGGACACAAGCTTTGGATTTTAGCAGAGAACAAATCATCAGGCTACAAAAGCATAGAAGAGTTACAACCCTTCATGACATGAAAAATGTTGAAAACTTCAAATCAGAGAATTAAACAACAGAAACATATAGCCTTAGATTAGTAGATAGCATTTGGATTAGCAAGACATTTTATACCTTCACAGCTGGGGAACTATAAGGGCAATTGAGGACTTTCCCATCACTACGTTCTCCACATATGTCATACATCGCACAGTATCCCTTTGAATGCCTTTTCCTGATCAGTGAACCAGATAGAACTATGATAAGATGAAAGAAGGAACTTAAAACTCCATAAGCAATTTCAGGAGTAAATGCAATTAACAGTCATTTTTGCAAGTAGTTTGACCCAACTACTGCAGCCGGGCAAAACAGGAGATATCTCAAAAGCATCAAGGATTCAAAATGATTTAAAATTTTGAAACTGAGAAGGCATTATACTCTTTTAAAATTTTACTATATTTGGTAAAAAAGTAATTGATAAAGGTTGCAGCCAGAAAAATGAAAATACAAATGTCAAGGAGCTTACTCAGCACTTTTAATGTCACAACAAGACGATGAAGACCCATCATATGGGGAACACATATAGAACACTCTAATAATACTACTACACCGAGGAATAACAATATGTGAAAAGGCATATAGTAGAAACTGACCCTTTCAAGAAAGAAGATTTTATATCCACAACTATCCAATTAAGAGGAACCTTATGATGCCAAAACAAATTAAAGAAAAGAACGATATATTATTACCACTTCATAAGAATACAGCCATCTTACACAAATTAAGCCAAGGTCTTTAGTGGTTTACCCAAACGTAGAATCTGTATCTAAAAGATCCTGTACATCAGCTTTCCCTGCACTAACCAAAGATGCCAAAAATATCACCTGCAGTAAAGAGTACCCAGTTCAGTAACAGCAAAAAAATGCAAAATATTCAGCTACTGTATTCTATGCACTACGTGAAAAAGGATAAATTAATCTGGGGCATTCGAAAAATTTTAACAGAAACTAAAACATTTCCCCCAACGGAATAACGATGCATCATGATCTCAGCACAGAATGCGTCTCAGTTTATCTGCAATTTTAATTCAAAACCAACCTAGAACTAGTAAAAGTTCAATTTAACTCCGCACGCACTTTGATTGCCCATCTACAACTAATTACTAAACCAAGCAAAACTTCAATGATGATGATACATAAGGAAAATAAAAGTTGTTAGTCAACAACGATCAAGCAACCAAGCAAAACCTCGAATCCACCCTAACTATTACAACAATTAAATTAAAAGTCATAAACTCCCAATTTATAGTCTCGCAAAGCTATGATCAATCACCACCTGAAAATAGCAAGAAAATTTATAGAAAAAACACGGAAAAGAAGGTCCAGTAGTACCGTAAACAGAGAAAGAGCAGAGAGAAACTCTGAAGCGGAAACCATTTTCGATATTGAGAAGAAAATTGGAGAAGGAAGAGAGAAATGAAGAATTTAGTAGTAGTAGTTTAGATATTTGTAGTTTTTCGGTTTGTTTAGTATGTTTCTTGTAGTTTACGAATTACGACTAGGAAGGAACTCCAAAGTCCGAGATCAAAGTCGGGTCGGTCCCGGGTACAACTTAGTCAGAAGAGTTCGTCAGGTGTAATTATTTGACTCGGTTAGATTGTTTAATTGTAAGTTCGATTTCCAAAATTGGCTCCTCTTAACATTTTTTATAATTTCAATAAAAATATATACAGACAATTAGGAATTATTAGTTTGAAAAAATAATTGAGAAAGAAAACAAATAGTTCGTTAATCTTTAGACAAACTTGGTAAAATTAAAATTTAAAAAATTTTATTTTATCAATTTAACAAACTCATATTTTTTTTACTTCATTGTTTCAAATTTTAAGAACTTTTAAAATTACTGACAACTGTAACCAGTTTTACATCCCACACTTACGCTCTCTCGACAAATTTCTTGCTTTTAAATTTTTTGAAAATTTTACCATAATTTCAGATTTTGCAAAAATTTAATCATTAAATTATCTTTACATCAATTTTTACACTAAATTAATTTTTACCAATAACAGTTATTCTTAACAAAATTAAAAGGGATTCTCGTTATTTCTTGTCCCATTGAAAAATTGTAAAATTTTTAATATAATATTTGGATCAGAATTTACTTCTTCACGAAATTCAAATCTAAATGACAAACACAAATTGGCTCTGGATTTATTATCTTTGAAGCTTCCACCGATTATAAGTCCTCGTAATGATCTTCTCATGAATATCTTGCAAATTTTGATAACACTTCCTACAGTTATAAGGTCAATTCTAACACCAATCTCAACTAACATCCTTGGAAATAACTTCAACCTATACCGAGCTTCCCCAATTTGCACATGGTACCGATCATCACACCACGATATGCATCTTTGATAAGCATTTCCTCAAACACTTTCATGTCAACCACTGCATACAGACTTAATAAAGAGATTTGAGCTAAGAAAATGCCCAGAAACTTACTTGGACTTTGAGGTTTGGAATTCGTCATCATGTCTGAGCTTTCCTCATTGTTCGAGTACAGAAGGGTATAACGTGGGGTGCTGACTGCTGAGCTGAGTCCCAGCTCTGTGCATCTCACGAAGCTGGGTAGCACTTGCCGCCATTTCTCAGCAGATAAAGACTGCCTGATCATTAGGCTCCATGTAAGGAGCTTTGAGCCTGGTATATTGCAGGGAACATGCATTTCCAATAAAGTGAAAGAACTTGCCATATGTATATTTAACATTTGTCAAAATATAGCAGCAGCTTTCTTACCATTGACCCCAAGCCAAAATGGTTGTTGCTTATGCAGAGTTAGAAGCGAAAACATGAAGAAGCATGATATTTTGTTTTTTTGGATTGCTTTACAGATCCAAACAAGCAAAGTTAAAAGTAAAGGGCAAACTATCACACGATGTGAAATGACATACGACTCCAGCAAATTTTGTTACTAAAAAAATCTAATAAAATCTTTAAAACCAACGACAAGGCTCTCTAGAAGGGACATTTCACAACTTCTTTTATGGAAAAAAGAAAAAGAAGAGCCCTCAAGACTAATCACAAATATGTCTTCTTGTGGGATCACTCGTCTACTTAGTTGTGTTTGCTAGACTATACTACTAACTACTCAGTCTATCCACACTGATTTCTGCTATATTCTCTCTAAGTCATCCTTATCTTCACCTTATTATTCGTTAATGTTGCAGCGTTGAAGGTAAGGGTTGTCAAACATCACATACTTAGACCAATATGTCTTGTACTTCGAGACAGCCAAATCCAACCATGGCTTGTAGTTACCGTTATAATGAATTACGGCTGCGTTCTCTATCTCAGTCTGGTTAAGTGCTGGGTCATAACCAAGTCCTAGCACATGCCAGCTTCTTTTCAACGGGAAAGTGAGGTTGTAAAAAGTGATCAGCCCTGGTGGCAAGGAGCCCAGCTTCCAAAGAGTTCGATCCTCATTCTGCAAAAAAGTGTCCATGTCACTCGCTAGTTTGAGCAAGGAGAATACTAAATAACTCGGTAGACTTGCAGATAGATACTTTTTTTCAGGTTAATAAAGTGAAATTATTGGATACACTATTCCGTAACTGTTAGTTGCTTATTAGAATTTAAAACGGGAGGCAAAACTACATCCCAAATGTGGGACTAGATATTATTTGTGTGGGTTAATGCATGTCAGTTTATTGATGTAATTGGTACTTTATACTGTAGTTTGACTTGAAGAGTACAAATAAAAAAAAAATTCGGGTGGATAACATACGGTGTTTGTTTAAGAGAATGCTTAACTTAAACGGAAGCCCTCAAAGGAGTGTACTCTCCATGGAAAATGCGAGAATAGCTTGTAGGGAGAAGAGACTGATGGGTGGCAGTTATTAAAGAAGCAAAAGAAAGTATAAGAATCTCTTCCTTGAGAGGATAAGTATGTGCATGTGTGGATGCATGCATGTTTGATTGAAAGTCAGTTCATGCATACTGGGATTGGGAAAAAAAAAAAGAAAGAAAGACATTCATGACAAGATGAGTTAACAGAGGAGACTGAACTTACCATATCTTGCCAACGGTGATATATCCCCGTGATATTTCGCTTTCTCCATTCCTTTAAGTCGAAAATGTTCATGCCAAATGCCCAACCACAAGCATTTGGATCAAAATTCTCAGAAATAGTTGGATTAGAAAAATTTAGATATTTATCAAATCTATGGAAGCTCTCCTTGCAGGTCTCGACAGCACCATTCACATTCCCTTGCAGATCAATGGACCAAAGAGGTGTCAAGTCCTTCTGAACTACAATATCATCATCCAAAAATAGGATCTTGTCCAGCTTTGGGTAAACTTCCGGAAGGTAAAATCTAAGATGATTCAGCATTGACAAATATTTTGGATTCCTATATTTTAGATTGTCAGATCCAGCAGAGAGGGAAGAAGGGTGGTTTGCCTTGAAATAATATTCTTTAAGTCTGGCAGATTCAAGCTGGCGCAGAACAGAACAGTAAGATGAGTTCAACCACTTGAAATCATCTATGTTCTCAACTGCAACTGTTGCTTTTGCAGGTGCATTGGCAAGAAACCACATTTTCATTGCAGCAAAGTTCAGTTTATCAGTTACTATATGAAAGACGTGTTTCTCAGGTTCCTCTGCATTGAGCACAGTGGAATTAATGACAACAGATGTCGCCAGTACATTATCAGAAAATATGGCATAATGGTACAGCGAACGATCCTCAAGCTTTTCTTTATTAACATCCTTTTTGTTTTGGAGCCCGTGCAAGAAGTAATCTGCTGCTAGCTGCAAGGGTAAGCAATGTAATGGTTTTGGAACTGTTTTTGCAGCTAGCTGAATCAAGAATGCACTCTTTTTCTTCATTGCATTTACATTATCTTCAGTTGACTGAAGCATGGCTCTAAATTTCCTTCCAACTGTATGGCAGTCATATAACTGGTTTTTGGCTACTGAGAGAACATGACCCATTGCCTTTGCTTGGTCAAGTGCTCTGTAAAAGGAACAGAATATGAACCCAAAATAGATATAATCACGTATGCCTAAACAGCAAAAACAGAAAACAGGGAGTGGACCTTTGTGGAAGCTCAGCATCAGAGTTCGCTTCTTCAATAACATGTTGACTTTCTCTAGAATGCTTCATAAGAGAATCATAAATGGTACTTTCATTATTAGACTTTGCAATATTTGCATATGCTTTGGCCATGATAATCTGGTCACGCATAAGCTTCAAAGTAGAATCAGAATTTGGACTCTCATAATCTCTCCTCCATATGCTGTACTTCCCTTGGGACAAGTTGTCCAGGGTTCTAGATCGTCCAATTGCTGCTTCTTGCATCTGCTCATCCATGTCTTTATCTCGTTGAATTAGCTCTGAAGTTCGTAGTTTCCTCCTATTCTGCCGCAACATCTGAAGGACTAGAATTGTCACAAATCCAAGTCAACTCCAGAAAATGTAAACTGAAGATACGTACAAGTGTCTTGGGAGTTTACCCTGCGCTTAAGCTTGATTGGGCTCATTGTCGTCAAATGAGGGTGCTGATTTTGACTTTCTCCTGACTGATGATCATCCATGGAATCAATACCATTCTGTCCCACCAAAGTATCAGCTTGAGATGGGTCTTTCAGAATCACTACCTGGGACGGATCAAATCAACATTTCAGCCACTTGACATTAAGAGAAAAGAGATTGTTGCCAAGAAAACAAATGGCATTCTTCTGTCTCTTAACTCTCATAACTGTTCATATATACAGGCTTTATATGGGAGTTAAAACTACATGTCTTCTAACAAAATTACTAGATAAATATGTCAGTGTGATTACTAATGCTTATTTACAAGATTTTAGGCCACTGGAACCACGTGAATCCTAACTACATGTTCAATGCTACAAAGTAAGAGAATTGTGCTTCCCAGTAAGAGATTTTGACCACATTCTTTGTGAAAACATTCAACATACATTCAGTTGCTGAAAAGCAAATAACAATACCTGGGAACCTTCAGCCTCGTCACGATTCCCATCGACAGGGTTTTCCAAGATCCATGAAGCAGAAAGGTCCCCCATTTTCACCTTACCAATTCTAACAGTGCCAGAATGATCACTATATGTTGCAAGTATATCAATATCCTGCAGTAAAAAGTAAATATAAGAAGCAGTGATATCAACAACAAAGTGGACAAACTCTACTCCTTACCTTTTCACTTGGATTATATCTGATTCGAGATTCCTGATCCTTGCAGTCAGTATTTAACCATATTAGATCATTTATGAAAATATTTTCCATCATAATAACAAAAACAAACTGTTTATAATAAAAATATTATGCCTACAGGTGAAACTTTGAAAAGAAAAAATAGAGGAGTTTCTAAGAATCAAAGAAAGCACCGCTTGTACTCTGGCTGGGATCAGAGGTCGAAGTTATCAGACTCAAACCCCATTGAGACAATAAAATATCTGAACGAATTTGGCCATCACAAGGTTAAAGTAACAATCGGTACATGCACAAAACTATTGCTTCCAAAACCTGCTCCTTTATTTCAAGCTAAACTAGTTTTCTCCAACTTCTACTGATAAAGACTTCCTCATCCACTCATCAGCACCATAAGTTGAAAATTCTGTGTTTTACTACATCAATTTATTTAGAGACTGGCACCTATATTTTAAAAATCTCTCTCGAGTTATCACCAAAATATGAGCAAAACTATTCGGTTGGTATTGTCATTTTTCCTAGCAAGGATATAAAACTAACTTCCTACAACATAAGACAAATTACCAATTTAGTATCTACTATGAACTATGTTACAATTCAGTTCTAATTTATTTTCTCTTACAATTTTAGTCTCTTAACTTACAAACTATTTCAAAATGTGATTTTTTACTGAAATAGCAAAAATTCTTCTTGTAGTAACATAAAAATATGACTTAAAAAAGATATATTCTTTCTTTAGGACTATTATAATTAAAAAAGTTATAAAAGTTTTTTATTGCAGGGCTCTCTTCTTCCTTAATATTTGTTATCATCATCTGCATTGCTTAAATAAATTAATTAATTACTTCTATTAAGATCAATCTTTATTTATTATATTCAAGCTTTACTAAAAACAAAATATAGAAAAACAAAAACAATTATGTCATTTTCTGTCAAAATTATCAAAATTATATAACAATCTTAGAATCGAAGTAATTTTATAAATTTAAGGACTAAATGCTAATGAAAAATGATATAGAGTTCAGGGACTAAATTATTTGCCTTACAACATATTTGTATTTTCAGCTCAAGTAGAACTAAGACAAATGGAAAATAGAATTCCCTCTACTACAAGGGTAAGCAAAAGATATTTACCTAGCTTGAGCTCTCTTAATGTTAAAACAAGAAATTATGGTTTTCAGTATTTAATATGATCATCGTTTAACTTTCCAATTAAGCACCCTCCAGTTATACGACTCATTGTTACTCTTCCATCCTCACCAGAAATAAATAGTCTTCCAATCACAACGAGGGCATAGTCTTCCAGGTATACCAGGACAGAGAAGTACAACAGATTACTTAATTAGGCCTATAAACGTATATCTAGCCAACGAAACATCAGAAATAGATATAGCAGAAAACAAAATGTTAAAAATAACAAACATCCTTCATACAAGCTGCACAAAGCAAATAACACTTAAGTTGATATCACTCAGATATTAGGTCATCAAAAATCAGGAAACTCCACTGCATAGTGGCCACACACTTGTGAGCAAAATGGTCATCTTGCCCCTCTGGCTCAAACCATGTGGGTGCTATCAGCTGAGTGAAAACAGTTCTTAGTAGAAACTTCAAGAATTTTACCTCTCGGTTACCACATCCATCACAATCATACAGTTGCCAGTCTGCTCTATGTTCTCCTCCTCTGAAAAGAAAAAGCGTAAAGCATGACCAAACCTAAGCAAAACATTAGGCCGTCAATCAAATAGAAGTTCCATAAGTAGATTCCGCATCTAACTTGTACAGAGGAAATTCCCACAAGCAAAATTATAATTTAAATTTAATTTCTCAACGATAGAAATATAAGCAGGAGATCTTACATTGTTCTACCCCATGAAATATCCGCGTTGACATGCACAATATGGAGCATAACCTGTGCAAACCACCACCAAAACTGAGCGGCTTTATGTTTTACACACAACTATGAAATTAGAAAACTCATCCAACGTACCCAAAGAAAAAGAAAAAAAAAAACTGATTTAATAATCGAGGCAAAAGCGGTATTGTAACTACGCCAATCTACTCACGGTATTAATACCATTAAGTCATTGAAAAACCATTCAAGGCACTTCTTAATAAAATTAATGATAATCTTATCACAAAAGAACTCTTTGAGACATTAAGTGGGTTTAAGAATCTGGACTAAATATCCATTATCCATCAGATGAGTAATTAAACCTGTGCTCTATATGATTCCAAATAAAATTCAGCAAAACTACCCATACATCATCATAATTTGTCTAATAAAAAATACATCAGAATTATAAAAAAAAAAAAAAATATCAGAGAACTGGGTACAAGACACAGATCCAAACAATGAACAGAGTAATAAAAGTTCAAAAAAGTAGGAAGTAACAAAAATACGAGAGCAGTTTACTGATACTTTTCCAAACACGATCATATAAAGCAGAGAAAAAAGTGATGGAAAGCATTGTTTGACAATACAGTTTCACTTCTCTTACTGTTTGATCTAAACAGAGAACCAAGCCCCTGAGATCCAACAGAGAAATACGATCGAGTAAAGTCATCGGAAAGAAAATTGAAGTAAAATGTCAAAGAGACAGTGAGTGCATACCAGTGAGATACAGATGAGAAGCAGGGAATCGAAGCTCCATAACTTTCTATAGAATTCCATGGAAATGAAGAGAACGAGAGAAGAGAAGTCGATTCTATGGATTTGTTTCAGCGGGAATTTGAAGAACCGATTTACGTAAGTCTCTCCATTTCCATTGTTTTCTTTTATTTATTTATTTATTCATTTAATCTGATACGCGTTTCTACAATGCGCTAGGGATGCGCGGGATAAAAACGTTAAATAGGAGAACAAACGATGGGAAACCATGTGTTTTCCTTTTCTTTTTTCTTTTTTTTTTTTTTTTTTTTTTTGCCTTTAGATTTGAATCTTATAATTTTATAATTATAACAAATTTTGCTCTAACGATCAACGCAACATGTCCGTCATTCTTTGTAGTTTATTACAATTGCATTGAACTTTAAAGAACATTTAAGAAATTTTTTGAATAAGTTTTATGATATAAAAATTAAGATATGTATTTAAAACAATTACACTGAAAATAGTAAAATATATCTTCAAAATTATTTCAAATATATATTTTTTATTATTTGAATAGATATTTTTATAAATAAATAAGAATGTTATATATTATAATAATACTATTTATAATATATGATAAAAAAGTTAATTCATATTTTAAACAGTAAAAATTTAAGTAATACTTATATTTATCAGTGTAATACTTATAAGTGAGTCGTATCTACTCTACTTAGTTGAAGAATAGTTATAAAATAATTTATCATAAATGATGAACGACTGATATTAATTCATTTCAATTAAATTGGATATTAAAATATTGAGAGAGTTGTTTAAAGATTTTTTTTGAAGTAAATAAATGGTTATCTTTTATAAAAGAAAAAAAATTATTTATTTACATAATATTTTTATTTTTTTTATTTAAAATAATAATATTTTTATAATTATTATATTAAATATTAAATAAATTATTACTAAAAAAATTTTAATAAATAATTATTTTAACAACATTTAAAACTCATAGTACTAATTGTCACAAACATCCGCATAGTTTGATTCTATTAATTAAGCATTATAATTAAAGATCTAATAGTTAAATTATGACTATTATCTTCTTTACATTAGTTGATTTTAGCACAAGACAAGGTAGAGTTCTACAATTGTGCTTGATCTAAGGCTCACAATATGTTTTTCTCCATTATCAAAACTTTTACTATAATAAAATGAAAGAAATATGGTATATAACACTACTCTGTTAAAATAACCACAACCACATGTAATTACAATCTTACATATATAATACTTATATAGTCATATATCTTCCATAAGTCATAAGTTTGACTTCATCGTATGCTTGAAAAAGAAATGAAATGAAATCACATTAATGAAGCAATCGGGACATGTTTAATAAAAGATTACCAATCCAAATGCAGCCATTTGCACTCAATGGAAGCAATTGCATCAATGCTGTCTTCTTTGTGGAGAGTGATGAGCTTGACTCCCGTCGTTTCTCAGGTGATGAGGAGATTGATGTTGAAATGATTGTTGGCGATGTCGGTGAGATGTAGAGTGGTTGGAACGAGTTCTTGTCTCCATCGGTCTTTCCTTGGCAGCTTCAATGCGTTCTAGTGTCTCCACAACTTCTTTCATTGAAGGACGTTGTTTGGGTTCAAGTCCAATACATTTTAGAGCAAGTTGAGCTATTCGAAATACAGATTTTGAGGGATATTTTCCCTCTAAACGAGAATCCATTATCTTCGTTAACTTTCTCCTATCAGCTAAATGTGGCTTGATCCATTCTACCAAATTTTGTTGCCCACTAGGACGATTCTGATCAAGTGCTCGTAAGCCCGTTAATATCTCAACCAAAACAACACCAAAACCATAGACGTCGCTCTTCACATACAAGTGTCCTATTCAATGAGCAATTTTCAATTTCATCCAAATATTTCAATAAGGCTTTAATTCAACTGCCTTCAAAACAATGTCAAATGCAGGAGGCAAAACGCAGACAATCATTTATAATCTTAAAAAGAACTCAAGATTTTGAAAAGCTACAGGTGATTGATTACCTGTGGCTACATATTCAGGAGCAGCGTAACCATGTGTGCCCATAACTCGTGTTGTTACATGTGACTGACTAGCTGAAGGACCTAATTTTGCCAGTCCAAAGTCTGAAATCTTGGCATTGTAGTCCTGCAATTAATACCAGTGACCAGAACTATTGTAAAGTATCTTCATATCACAAGATTAAATAACAAAAAATAGTAAAATCTACAAAGAATTGTTGTGAGTTTTAGGGAAGATTTACCCCATCAAGTAGGATATTTGAGGCTTTGAAATCCCTGTAAATTACTTGCTTTTCAGAAGTGTGCAAGAAAGCTAGGCCTTTAGCTGCTCCTATCACAATCTTGAGCCTGATATCCCATGGGAGTGGCTGAGCAAAAGAGCCCTCTGGACAGGCGAAAACAAGTAGAGAATGATGAAGCAAATGAACCCATTTTATGCAAAAAAAAAATAAATAAAAAGACTGATTGCACAAGAAAATAATCTCTGATAACATTTATTTGATCCTTTTATAACTTCTTACTTCGAAATAGATGGTTTTCCAAGCTGCCCTTCTGCATGAATTCATAAACAAGGAGAAGGTCTTTATCCTCCCAGCAGTATCCCAGTAGCTTTACGAGGTTAGGATGAGAAAGCCTTCCCAAGAAATGTATCTCTGACTGCAAAAAATAATACACGAGGAAATGAGAATTTATACGAGTGTTATTTCTTATTAGCTTAAGCTTCTGGGTGAGTTGCCTACTATTTATCAACCCAAAATAAAAAAATGAAAGCCAAGAATATAACCCACATATAAACTAAGTTTTAATGCATGAATATCCTACGAGAAACATGACAATGAGTCGGTCAATTAGCTAAGTAAGCCTCAAGGAAAGATGAATCACCTGCCATTCCTCAAAACCTTGCAAGCTCTCAGAATTCAATTTTTTGACAGCAATCACAGTCCCACTCCCATGTTTTCCCGGAGTCTTCTCATCAAGCCAGCCTTTAAACACCTTTCCAAACCCTCCTTCCCCAAGCACTGTATCAGACCTAAAATGCTTTGTTGCAGCTCTAAGTTCTGAAAAACTGAATATCCTCAAGTTGGGAGTGGGCAAAATCTGCCCATTCGGAAAGGTCTCATCGCTGCTGCTCACAGAGAACCGGCTGTCCCTAGAGATGTTGCTACCTCTAGAAGTTCTTGAAGACGCTGTGTGGCTTGTTGTCTGAGATATCCCTGTTTGGTCGAAGAATTAAAGTCTATAAGTCAAGATATAAGGTTTTGATAAGGAAACCAAGACAAATTTCTATCGTTACTGAATCCAAACTCGAAGATTTTAACCCCAAAGAAATTCATGAAAACCCACATGAGAAATCAAGAATATAACAATATTACCATGGTAATAAGCAGTGACAGATTAAGACACGATATGATATTTGAAACAATGAAATTCATATAGAAGACTGGGTTTTTGGGAAAGAACATGCCAAATCATGAAACTAATTCGAATAACTTTCAACTTAAATTGGACGTTAAACAAAAATAAAAAGCAAACCCACATGAGAAGAAAGAAGGAAAAGAGTAAGAGATTAAGAGCGCTAGTACCTGTACTGAGAGTACCAGTAGTGCCAGGGGTTATTGGATTACGAGCTGGAGAACCCCAGCAAATTCCCATTAGAACAGCCTTTTGATTCTCTGTTCTCTTTCCACTAAAAGCAAGCGTATATTTCTTGCACCCAGATTTCCTGGAAAATGATTGAAGAAAAAAAAAAGATCTAGTTGCAGCAGCAGCAGCAAAATAAGAAGAAGAAGAAAATATAATCAAGACCCAAGACTAATTTTTCTGACCTTCACTCCTTGTTTATTCAAACCACCAAAATGAGTTGTTATTGATTTTTATTTTCTTTCCTTTTACATTGGAATCCCATCTTTCTCGTTCCACTAACCTTGAAAAAAAAAGTAATAAAACAGAGAGGTGCTTTTAAAAAATGAGTTAGCTTGAATTTTTCCTCCCCAAGACTACTTTTTTAACGTAAGCAAATTTGTTGAATGTGTTGGCAGTAAAAATCAAAGAGGCAGAGGGCAAGCAAATCACCATAACCAAACAAAAAAAGAAAAAAAAAAGTGAGAAGCAAAATCCAAAAAGGATTGAGAAAGAAAGAGAGACAGAGAAACACAGGGACAGAAGAGATAGAGTCAGAGAAGGGAAGGGGCTGGCTCTTCGCGGGAAATTCAGACCGGAATCCTTTTTCCAAGTCAACGGCCGCGTTGTATTGTTATTTGTAGTCAAAGTAAAGATATCAAATGATTTAGTTTTTTTAAGAAAAAAGAAAAAAAAGTGATTTATTTAATTCATCATTTCCACGCTATTTGATTAAGGTACCAGCTACATCAGTTTCTTGTATGATGACACAATGCGGTTTCAATATTATATATTTTTATAGGATAATATCATAAAACTTTTTTTATAATGCTATTATTGTTTTAATATGTATAATAAATTAAGAAATTCGAGAACCT